CATGAGATATCAAATCATATGCCTTGGAGAAAACCAAACACACTCTGCTAGTGTCTTTGCCTTTATCAACATAGGCCTTTGTCCAAAGAAAGGCAACAATCTGTGCTTCTCCTAAGTACCAAAGCAATTTCACGTCTCTGTAGGTCTGTTTCTAACAGAAGCTGAATTTACTGGCAGCTGGAGCTTAGCAAAAGTCCCATCACAAACCTCTGGAGCTCAAATTTACTGCCTTTATTCCCATCAAGAGATGTCAGCATTCATGTCCTGTTGTTGTTGGCCAGCATCTCCATAGTTGTCCATATCTTGCATTTCAAAGAGTGTGATCCTTTCTTTGAGGAGGTATCAGATTTCCTTGAAATCAAAGACTCTTTCCCTCTCAAGTTCTTGAAAACTTCAGCCTACGCTTCAGATACTTCTAAGGGTGATCTGCCATGTTCCCCAAATCTGAGGGATTTGCTTATTTACTTCCAGATGTTCAATATAGGATGGGCTGGCAGTGGAAAACCTGGTAGGACAGCTGGCACTGTTCTCCAACATGATGCATAGGCAATAAAGACTTATCCACGTGTCACACTTTTCATATATTGCTGCTCTTGGAACCCATCGTCTCAGGGTTTGCCTGTCTTGCTCTGTCATGATTAATTTCTCTTGCTAAGGGCCTTGGGGCAGGTACCTGTGATTTCAGGTTTTGCCCTTTTTTTCCTCATTGTAATTGTAAAGGGCCCACAAAGTCACAGACATCCTCTAGTACTGAATAAATAATTAACAATGCTAATTATTTTCACTCCAAAACTTAGTCTGCAGATTCTTAAGAGAGAGAATGGTGTCAATGCAATCGCAAAAGTGCACATCATCGCCAGATGGAAATCAATACATGGCATCACTGTAAGACTCCACATGGTAGCACTTGTCAGTAATTCTCTTCCAGTCTGTCAACGCAGTACTCCATCACACAAACAGGAGGAGCATGTTGTGGGTTTGTATATTTGAACCTCTCTGGGGACACCACTAATATAAAAAGCATTGCCACCAGAGGCTTTTTCTGCACTTAACGAAAGGAAATACATTTTCCTTCATTCTCTTCTCAAGCTTGTAGAGGCCTGGACTCAGATTGCTTAGCTATGCTCTTCTTTTGTGGACAGCAGCACTGCTATCCACAAAAGCTAGTGGCAACTGTGATGACATGGGCTTCTACGCCCTGAAAGCTGACCTAGGACCAGACTTGTTACACTTTGGCTGCATCTACACAAAACTTTAGTATCAAGTCTGAAAATCTAGGCATGAAAGCAATGGGTTGATGTTGCCCATACATAGGACCTACAGGCCTTGCATGGAGCTGCCATGCCTTGTCACTTGGAGGAGAAGTAACAGCAATGTGTAGTGGCCCATACAGTCACTGCAAGGGTACAAGTGCTTAGCCAGCCGTGGGCATGCAACAAGGGGGAGATGTTCTTGGGGCATGTGACAGTCCACAGCTCGTTAGTCAGCCATCTTTCTTCATTCATCTCCACTGGGAGCTCTCCACAAGGTGGCAACGTAACACCACACATTCCACCATTTCCTCTGGCAGATGTCCTCTGATTGAAGTTTCCCTCATCCCAAGAGTGGTGGCCTTGGTTATGTGCGCCCATTGCAGGCATGAATGCAGGCAAAGCCTGGCTCAAATTGAAATAAATGCAGCTGGTTGGCCTGATGGTTCTCTGCCAAGTCTTCAGAGATAAAGAACAAAGTCCAACTTACACAGCTTCGCCACTAGTTGTTGACCATGGTAAAAGATGAGGCATGAGAGTATAGTCACCAAGCCAGAGCAGGATCGTGGTGTCTTTAAGGAAAATGGCAGACTTTTAAGAGACCAAATCTGATATCATTGCAATACTAAATTTTGCTTTATTAAAAAAAAATACTCCTGCTCCAGAGTGTAGGATAGGTGTTGAAGCACAAGACCACTGTGACATGAATGAGCAAGCCAAAAACTGTCTGCACTAGGTTATACCTGCTTCCCATTAATTTAAAAACAGCCAGGAAAGATGTTAGCTGAAAATGAGATGTGATCATTGATAGATTGCTTATATCAGTTTAAATCTAGCAGCAATAACAAAAGAAGTACAAATGATGGATATATAACACTAGTTTCTTTCTACACCACAGATCAGGATTTTGTGAATTATCCCCAGATTTCAGTACCTCCCCTCCAGCTTCTGTTCTGTCTCTTACAATAAAGATTTGCTTGCCAACTTCTTTGAACGGGGAAAGCAAGCCAAGTCAGTCCTGGAAGGGGTTGAGCTGTGTTTGTTTTGCTGTGTTTTGGGAAGCCCTCTTTTGAGATGTTTCAATGTGCTTGGTCCCCCTTAAGTCTCTTTATCTTTGTAGGGGGTCTCTGCCCTTTAGTTGATTCCTTGAGTAACCCTCCCAGAAGATCTGGGGCAGTTCAGGATGAAAGTGGAAAGGATCCTTTAGCAGCTTCTCACCCATTCAGAGAAGGGACTCTGTCTAAAGCTGGTGTTCTGCTGCAACTACAAAGTTGCGTTGTTTTCTGAAGTACCAGGTATTGATCATGGCTGGAAAGAGAAGAGCAGATTAAATGGATCCAATGAACTGATCTGGTACAGCAGGCTTTAAGCTCTTTGAAGCCTACGAGGGCATTTCCATTTCCAAACCACAAATTATTTCCAGAAACTGGGAAACAAGAGGAGGGAAACAAGAGGAAGGAAAGCTTGCACATGGCAAGCTCAACAGAGAAGAAAAATCCTTTGCAATGAAGTCATTGGACAGAAAGTAAACTGCCCACAAGCCCTTTTACCAGAAAAGTTTGGATCAAGAGTCCGATGAATAGGGGAATTATACATAACATGTAGTATATGAACAGTCAGGGCAATAAAGAGGCATTATCCATGGGCTGGTCTCAAAACTTCCACTGAACCCGTTAGTGCATGAGTCAGTCACAGAGAAGATGGGTCTATGTGGTCCCTGTTCCAGAGCTAGGTTAGAGGAAAGGTGGAACTTTTCACAGAAAATAGTTAACGCTTTGCTTTATCAGGCTTGCTAAACTTTGCTTAACTTGTGCAATGATTCCTGGCTCTTCCGTATGGCCTTCACCTTTGAGTACTACTGATTAACTAGTACCTAGTTTGCATACGATCTGAGTTCCTCTTACACTTTTCTCCTCTTTATCTAACGGAGTTGGTTATTTTAACCCTTTGACTGGGGACTTGGTGGCTGGTACCTTCTCTGAAAAGCTTTTTGCTAAGGAAGCAGGCAAGAGAGACTGAAGATCCTGGGGGTGAAAACCAAGTTCTTTTAAACTGTTAAGGCTCTGAATTCTTTGTGTTGCAGTAGCCTCTTGTAGGCATAATCCAGCTGGGGGGGGGAGGCGGGCAACTCTATGAGGCACAGGACCAGCATGTAACGAGAGGGCTGCTCCTGCCCTAAACAACTTGCAGCCTGAATAGAAAACACAAAGAATGGGAGGAAAACTAGAGGCACAAAGAAAAGCAATGACTTGGCCAAGATTGAGCAGTAAATCAGTGGCAGAACTTCGAAGAGTTCCCTTGAGTCCTAATCTAGTGACCTTTCTAGTGGGGCAGGCTGCCTCTGGCTTTTCACTGAAGTGTGCAAAGCATTGGCTTTTGATTTGCAAATAGGTTAGAGCATACAGTATCTTATGCCAAAAACTTCAGCGCAAAGTTAACATTGCCTAATGGTGTCTCATATTGTTCCAGAATGCATAGTGGATAAATCCTCAGCAGGATATGAAAAATTAATGCAAATTTAAACTTCTGAAAAGTAGGAAGTTTAAAGGTTTGTGCTATACTGTCAAAATAACCTTAACTCTGTTCTCTTCCAGAATTACTGCTATACATGCTCATGCAGAGTGAATCTCAGAGGAAAATTCAAGAAACAAGGCACATGAAAACATGCAGTACAGACTAATCTTGTCTTACAGCAAGAGAGATGGAACAGACAGCAGTGTCTGTTCATACAGCTTCCTATAAGTTCCTAGGCTTTAAAGCCAGTAAGCCTTTGCTAGACTGTCTGACCTTATACCAACCTTTAGACTTTTTTTAAATCGCGTGTATTGAGCCAGATACACTGAGGTTGCCCACAGCATCTTCAACAAAGGCACAAGTTCAGATCCTGAGTGCAGTAGTTTCAGACAGACAAACTATTGTCCGGTTGTTTTCAGGGGGTCTTGGCTCTGGTCCTCCCCTGCACGAACTGGCTTGCTAACCTTGGCATGCTCAACAGCGAAGATGCATTTTGGGATTCCGAAGCATGCTGGTTTAGAAGTACTTAGAATAGTCCACCTAAAACCAGAAAGTGATGCTTGGTATTATCTATAGCTGAGCTGAGATTCCTCTAATATCTGGATGACTCTAATGCCCATTTTACTTTGGGGGAAAAGGGTCTAGCAGTGCCACAAATTGGTTGCAGTTTAGAGAATAGTTTGCCTTTTCAGGCATTATGCTCCCTCCCCATCTATCAGCAAGGTGTTTACCAAAACCAAATCACTATATATATTTAGTCATGATGATTTCCCATGGACAGAAAGGGCTAGCAGGGGTCTTTAGACCCAGCAGCACCTGCAGGGATGTTCTCAGTAGATGGCTGCAGGGCGGTGCGGAACTGGGTGGAGGGCTCTCACGTGTCCCTTGGACTTTGCTGAAAGCACTGAAGCATGTGCCTCAGCTCTTCGCTTGGCAACTTTGCCTCTCTTATTCTGCTTGTAAGCAGTTTGGGCATGGTCTGGTGCTACAGGTAAGAGTAAGATGCTGAAGTGTAATATGATAGTAGAAGCCCTGTTTCCTGGTTTTACTGAGTTAGGTCTAGAAGGATGAAAATTCTGTTTTTCCATCTGCAGCACATCTAACTTGTTATCAGCTAAGAAATGGGCTGGGTAGGGAGAGCTCAGGCTTTTGTGTTACTTAATCACGTTTGATACTACAGCTAGGTGAGATGTCGGCAGGGAATTTATTACATGTCTTTTCCCTGTATGTATTCAGGTGCTTTGAGGAACTTCCCAAATTTACCCACCACGCGTCACTCAGTTGAATCATTCCTCCAGGTGAATTTCAGCCCCAGATTAATAACAACTTGAGTGCAAACATGATTCACTCATTTTGACTGCATGCCAAAAGCCTTGTGTCCTTCTCTTGCCTGGAGGAGGGCAGCTGTTTTTATCTTTCTTAAAAAGAAGAGTGAGTAAGGGAAAGGAAATAACGTACAGTGTATGGCAATTGTGAGTTACTTGTGTAATGAACAATGTCTTTGCAATGCTACCAAGTCACTGGGACTAAAACCCAGGCGCCAAAGGGAAAGTGACTGAAAGGGGACACCCACACAGCCTACCCATCTGGAACTGCCCCATCTAGTCCTCATCCTTTGCATCTCAGGACTTTTCAGTCATGACATGGTTTCATTGTCTCCATCCCGTGGTGATGCAACATGTCTATCTCTTAGTGGGAACTGAGGCACAGGCTAGATGAATGTCTTGCCCCGTATTTAGCTGGAGCCAGGCTCCAAGTCATTTATAATGTTTTCTTCACTGCCACTAGGCACATTTCCCTGAGTAACTTTTTTTTTTCTCTCTCTCCAGGGTAGGAGGAGGCTTCCTAATGTGTCGCGGTATCTGTAAGGGATACGGATACCCATTTCTGCTTGGTCCCCATACTGTTATTTCCTAGAAGCTAAATATCTGTCTATGCCCTATTCTTTGCATTCTTCCCTACATACCCGCTGCCAGCTACTGTCAGACCCAAAATACTGCACTGCTTGGACATTTGGTCTTATGTAATATGGCATTTATGTTCTTATGAAGTTTGGGAGGTTTCCTGTTTTTCATTATGGTCTCCACTGAGCAGGCAACATGCAAAATGATCCCAGCAAATTTGGTGGGTTTGCTGAATGTCTCTTAAACGCTTTCTCCTACATGCAGTCCTGCCTTCAGTGAGGCTGACAGTTGACTGAGCTCTCTACCACCCACCCAAAAGGTCTTTACCTTTCGTATGTTGCATGTTCACCATAAGGCTACTAGTCCCACTAGTGTAAGTAAGGGTTGTGCAAGTGAACCATGTCAGACCCTGAAATCCTGATTGTTTTTAATGGCCAAAGGAGCTGCTGCAATAAGAACCTGATCTTCCATGTAAGACGGGCCTCAAAATTTCTTCTGCTAATTGTTGCTTCTGTCCCAGCCACTTTTAGTTGTGGTTGAGAAGGTATGTGGATACCTCCTCAGCAATGGCCAGAAGGGTTGATATGGGCCTTTATCACAGAAAAGGGTAGTGAAGGGAAGAGGCATGCAGTGAAGCTGAAGTGATGCAGCAGTGGCCTTTTGACAGGGATGCGGTTTTCAGAATGTCTCCTTCTATTTCTGGCAGAAGATGTCAGGGCAAATGAATCCTGGAAGCCCTCAAGTGCAAGTCTGGATATGTTCTGTCTCCATTTACCAGCTCTGCTGAAGGAGAAATGACTGCCATGCCACTGTCCCATCACTCAGCAGCTATCTGGCAAACTCTCCCTTACATCAGCACTGCAGCTGCCTTGCGTGCTATCTGTTGACTATTTTCTTTTCCTCAACCTTTATGCCCTGAACTGACCAGTTTTTAGAATTTACAGGGTAAGTGTCAGACATCCCATTGAGAACTGAACACTGATGAAAAAATGCTGGAAAGCTGATGGAAATTGCTAGAAAGCAGCATTATTTATCCACTGGAAAAGTATACTACATACATTGTCAGAGCAAGCACCACATCTCCTGGCTTCCCTATTGTCCTCCAAGCCTCTGCTGAATTTGATGCTTGTTCAAGGTCAACCAGCCACTTTTGTCTCCTGGCTCTGTGCTGTATCCTCTTGCTTTTGGAGATTTTCTGCAGCAGGACCAGCCAGCTTCAGGAAAGAAGGGATAAACCTCCCTTGTTGGCACAATTGTTTTTGCTCAGGTTCAGTTCAAATCTTCTCTCTTTCCCCCATCAACACTCTTGGGCTCACCAGTTTCTTTGGGGTAACTGACACCCTCAAGTCCAACCAGTTTGAGGGATGAGCAAGGTCAGAATTTTATTTTAGTGCATCTCTCACCTTGAAAAGTGTTAAAAAATCATGAAATAATTGCTAGAGTTGGTTGGAAAATTTATTTTACATGTTTTTTTTCTGCCACAAAGGCAAATATGTTCAAACTGAAATGGTGGGAAATGGGATGGTTTCACCTGATTTTCCAGCTTACACAAAGGTTATAAGTCTTCTAAAACCACCCCACCCCACCCCCCCCCGCTTTTATTTTTAATGATTAGAGGTTTGATGTTATTTTACATTAAAATAACATTAACCAAACCTAATTTTTACTAGATAAAAGAAATTAAACAAAGAGAAAAAGGTCAAAATCAAATATTTGAAGATTATTTTTATGTATGCCAATTTTTGTTTTGCTTTGATTTATTTTTGTTTTTTTTTCTGGTGGTCTGTGAACATTTTTGAGATTTTCTTCCAGTTTTATTTCTGATGTAGAGAGGAAAATCAGTTGAAATTTCAAAAGCTTTTATGAGAAGGGGAAAGTCTTCCCTGCCAAGCTCTAGCTGTGGCTTGAATACATCTTAAAACACTGACTGTAAAAAACTGTGATCTGATTTACCAGAGAGGGTTTTCTTATGTTGCTGCACCTCTGTGTAACCTCTGAAGAGTAAATAGCAGGCAGCTATTGCTGATGGTTTCCACTTGCACCAGCTCTTAAACTTCTCTAAGATAGAGTATATTGTATTTTGGAGATGGAGATGTGTTAGAGTCAGCCAGGAGGATTTGTAAACAGAATTATGAGAAATGGGAGTCAATGAATAGGAATGATGATATGTAGGAAAGGATTGGGAAATACGAAGTTAGGGATGACTCAGTGTGAAGGTCCGCACCAAGCAATCGCCTGTGACGAGCAGCAAATGTACATGAGAGCTTCAAAGCAGAGGAGCACTGAGTCTCCAATGCAGACTGTGTGAAAACCTCTAGAGGTTTGTAGCTCAGGGACTTTTTGAACCAGGAGCTTCACCTTTTTGTTTAAAGACATGGCTAGGAAATATCAAAATGCAGTGTGAATACAAATAAGAATCTAATAATTGTGACTTTTTCAAAAGCAAGTGGAACTGCTCACTGGGGCTAATGGAAAAGATCATGTAGCACTTTGGTTTTTAGACCATCTTTCTTTTCACCACCTTTTCCTAGCCACAGTTTTCCCTCTCGACCAAGCATGCCAGACCTGTAGTTTTGAATTTTGTCTGAAAAATGGGTTGTTTTGAGTAAACCTTCACCCCTTCTTCCACTGAAGTTTCTATGAAAAAATATAAATCTCAAACTGCAGCTAAAATCTTTTATTCTGCCCCGCTTTTAACCTTATCTCTACTCTCTTTCTAGCGGGTAGGTAATCAGAGAGATGAAACACAGCGTGGCTTTGTCCCTGAAGAACATCATCTGCTCTTTCTTCTCCCGCACATAAATCTCACTGGTGTACCTTGCCCTTTACGATGTGGTAAGACTGAGTGACCAGCATACACTTAGCAGAGGAGATGGCGAGGTTTTAAGTACAGATAGTTTCCAAATGACCCCAGAGAAGTGCACATATCATGTTGTTAACAACCATATTCTGCATGGCAGTGATCCAGGGCCCTGTAATTAGATATGAATATTACAGTTGGCTTCAAAACACTATAGAAATTAGAAATTGCTGTCTGTTGGGGAATTAGAGCATCATTTTATTGGACAGGGGAGAGCAGATTGGTGGTGGGCTCGTTTCATGTTTTTGTATTTCAGGCAGTTTGCCTGCTTGAGAGGAAGCTATTTATTGATCCCTGCCTGCGAGGGTTAATAAATCTCTGTTCAGATTGGTTCAAACTCTGGCCAGGTCAATCTGAGGCAGATAACTGCTTCTTAACTAGAGGCACTCTGCGAACCAGCTGGGGGAAGCTGCCCAGCTTCTATTGGTCTGCAATAAGAAACTGGGGGTGTGCAGACCCTTGACCTTCTTTCGAGCCTCTGGTGTTTGGGTAGTTTGGATTTAATGTATAGAGAGTCCTTTTTTTTTTTTTATGATATGGCATTGAGGTCAGCAGCATTTTTTCCCATCCCTTCACATTTCCCATTATTCATGCATGCCACCTTCAGTGGGGGGAAGCGTCTGCTTGGCAAACAGGCTGGTTTCATTACCCAGTCTCCTCCCCTTGCCTCCTGAAGGACATCTTCATTAGGAGCCTCTGTGTGTGGAAATCGGCTTATGCTCCACACAATATGCAAAAGCCCCCTGGAAGGATTTTATGAGAGGTCACACGCTCAAGCCTGTCTGTCACTGGCCACCCAGGGGTGGCCACCCCACCCTCTTGCCTCCCTGGGACTTGCCCTTTGATTCCTCACCCTGAGCAGCAAATGCCTCTGCTTCAATAGATGTAATTTCCAATTGTCTCCATGAGCTTTGGAAGTCTCTCTATCACACCCTGAACAAATATGCCTTTTTTTTTCTTTTTTATTTGTTCTCTGAACTCGCTGCTGAATAATCGGTTCTTTCCCCACTGCCATGCTTCTGCTCTAATCAAGGACAGATTCTTGTGAAAATAGATTGGTCTTTCCCCCACCCACTGTGTGTGTACGTCTGTTTTTTTAAAAAATAATTTCCTAGAACTGGTAGATCTGGCTGGCCCCTGGGTCTCTGCTGGTGCAGGAGGGTTAAAGGGAGAGCTGGGTGGCCTGTTTGCTCTCAATTTTAACCATTTCATCATTTGCAGTGAAAACCCTTTCCCCTACTCCCATTCCTCAAAAGGGTCACTCTCGGTGCACGTGGTGTAGAAAGCTCCACTGAAACGTAATCAGCAGCACTGGGCTTAGGTAATGCCTCCTATCAGCCCTGTCAGGCAGCCCTGGACTGTGGGTGGATCCCAAGAGATGCTGGATGCATCCTGTTGGGTGCTGAGTGCCCTGAGCTCTCACTGGTGATCCCAGGTCTTGAGGTTCTAGGTTGTGTGCACACCCCGAAGGCCTGAAGCTCCTGATGATGCGTTTCATCATTGAGGACATCACCTTCCCTGGGCTTCTCAGGTTCCCTAGCTTCTTGCTACGTGCAGAAAGGACCAATTCTCACCTTCCCGCAAGGGTCCTGGGTGCCTGGCAGTGAGACAGCAGGGCCAGATGCAAACCTCACATCCAGAGGAAGGTGAACTGCAAAACCTGAGGAGGGCACTAGAGAAGTGCAGAAACGTCGAGCAGCCAGTGCATGTGGCTGCCATCTGCAGAGCCCCCAGTTCCTGGTGCTGGGCTTTTCCTCGGAGAGTGAGGTGAAAGGGGGGGGGGGGGGGTCTCAGACTCCTTTTTGAGCAGCTAAGGTCTTATCAACACTTTCCTCCCCGTCTGATCCATGATTACTGAGCCTTCATGTGTACACACTGGATGTATGTGCATATAAAAATATATGGCTGTATAATTAGAACCAGCCAAGAATATTTGGTTGAAATGGTGGTGGAGAGGGGGATTCAGGGGTGTCCAAATATACTGATCCGTTAAGAGCCAGAGCTCTTCATGGAAAGTGTCAGGTTTGATGAATTTCCCACAGAAAAAAAAAAGGAAAAAGAAAAAGAAGAGGTTTTGACATATTTTAAACATTCCAATGCAGCATTTTTAAACCATCACCTCCCAGTCTCACTTTTTCTCTGCTCACAGAGCTTTTTGAGATCATTCTGAACCAGGAAGAACAGGGATTTGAAGTATGGCCAATGTCCTAAACACCAGCTAAACAGCATCATTCAGTCCCTCTCTCTCCTTTCTCCCAAGAAATGCTTCCTGATAAAAGCAGTTGAAGACGAAATGTTCCATGTTTCGGGGCAGGGACATGTCAGCTTCAGGCAAATGGTATATTTGACTAAAGGAGGCAACAGCCACCCATAATTAAAATGTTTCCATTGCATGTGCACTTCAATGACTCTTCCCATCCCCAAGATGCACCTATCATCCTGCCTTAGAGCAGCTCTTTGGTTGAGTCCCTTCACTGAACTGGTCTTTCCTTAGTTTCTGCATTTCCCTGCATCTTTCTGTCTTCCCAGAAAGCTCCCTGCCTTTCTTAGTGGCACAGAACCTCAGCCTTGCCATGGGAAAAGGAGGCTGGAGGGATGACTGAGCTCGCAAAGGCAGAGATGAGCAAACAGTAGGAAATGTGGCAAACCCATGCAGTTTCAAGAATCTTTTGGGAATTAGGACCCACTTGCCTGGAGCATCTAAGCCATTTATTAGGACCATATCCATTTTGGGGAGGGGGGGTGGTGGGTAGTGTCAGCCACGTGGCTGGCGCTTTTGCCCAAGCTATTATTCATGCTTGTCTAGGTAGAAAGCCTTTGTGTGGGAGCACAGATCCTCAAAGGTTTGGCTTGACTGGAGAATCAAATGCCTAAATACCTTTGAGGATAGCAGCCTTAGTCATTACGTCCACTACATCCACAGCCAGCTTTAAATCCACTCTGGAGAGCTTACAAATGCTTCTTTATAAGCTTTTCAAGCTGGATTTTGACCCCAGCTGGCTTCCTCCTGTGTCGGCAGCACCCTTCTTCCTCCAAACCTTGGAGCAAAGTGCTCACCTGAGCTGCTGTTTCAGTGGGTCATTGCAGGATGGGCTAAGTGGAGGTCGGCAGTGTGAGCTACAGCTGAATGAAAAGGTAATGTAAATGTCTATTCATATATAAACAATACATCGATAGCTTTATATGTTTCTATATGTTTAAATATGCATGCTATTCTCATCCTGGTGTTCCTATACCTTGAACTAGTTCACAGCTGGACTGAAGATAGGGGGAGAAATGATCCATTCCTGGTGTCAATCTGAGCTGGGTGACAGCACCTTGTCACTGTACCAACAACTACATCTGGGATCAGTGGGATGGAAACAGAACATCAATGTTTGCTCCCTTGGGACCTAGGAAAAGGCTTTCTCCTGTACATCACACAGGAGCTTCCATCTGCAAGGCCTCCTGCACCTTCTTTCCCACTGTCAGGTACAAGCTTCTGCTTAAGAACTCCAGATTTGATGCAGCCTGAATACATATTACTGTTCTTCTTTTTATTGTCCATCCATGTCCCCCTCAAAGCAAATAATAGCAAAAAAAGAAACAAAAATTCATGTAACAGATTCACTGTTAAAAGGAACTTATACTGTAGAGTATTCAGATACTAATGGAATACCTGTAAATGTTGATAATATTTCTCCAGTCTTTGGGGTATTTGGGATCAATGTTTGAATTTCTCTTTTTTATATATTGTGACAAATCTAAACCCAGAAGGAGGTCTGAGAATTGTTCTCGGTCATTCAAACAAGAACAAATCAAAGCACCCCATGAGGGTGCTTAGCTGAACCCCAGCAGAGCAGAACTTACCCCACCAGAGTGCAAACAGTGGTGACACTTCCAGAGGAGCCCAATCATTTAACTTCTGGTGGTTCCACGGCCCGGGGAGGCTCAGCATTGCAATGCCATCTAGTTGTGCCTCCACGCATCCCCCAGAACATCATCATTCCCTGTCCTACTTTTTTCTCCAACAAAACCTTTTCTATTCTTATTTTTCCTGCTCCTTGTCCTGGTTTTCTGCTTGCCTCTACATGTACATTCAGGGCTTATAGCTTTTTCTGGATGTTTTCTTGTAAACATATTTTTTGGCTGCAACCCACCCATTACGCACCCAAAGGATGATTGATTGGCAAATGTCTTCAAATCAACAGAAAAATCGACTGCTCTACTCTTTTATTTTCCTCTCCAGCAATCCCCCTGGACTTCCTTCTCTGCTGAGCCAGTGCTCAGGCTTGCCTGCTCCCCAGGGACACTTAGGGAAGCTTTAAGGATTCCCTGTATTGATTTTTAGGTCCCAGGAAGCCCTGGGAAGAAGAGGACTGTCGAAGTGCATTGCGCCTTATGGTGGGGCCATGCATTACTGCCCCAGAGCTCTCACGCGAGGTCCACGATGGAGCTGGCCATACCAAGGGCTGCGCAGCCATGCTGGTGACATGCACACAGGCATGCCAAAGAAACGTGCCATGACCACCTCTGTCTCCAAAGCAGGAGAGCATCCCCTGAGCCAGCAGGGGCAGCAGCTCCTGGCTGCTCAGGCAGCTGCACGAGCTGCACAGACCCTAATGCTTCTCATTTATTCACCTGCTTTTTTTTTTCCCTTTTCCTCCCTCCACCCTCTCGCAGACAGATTTCCCTCAGACAGGACCTCCCTGTGGCCGCCTCTGAGGGTGTTGTTCCCTCTGATGAGCTCTAGGCACAGCATAGGGGTGGGCTGGGGGCTGAGTCTGCCGGAAGGGCATTGCTTTGTACCTACCAGATGTGCTGAATTTCTCCCTCTGGCTCCTTCTGAGCAGCCCCCTGCTTCCTCTTGACCTTGCTGTAATTTAGATTCTCAGCCTTTTGCCAGTCCCTGCAGCTGATTTATTCTCCTGATGTTTAATGTTGGATTTGCCTCCTTGGAGGAAGGTTGTATCCACCTTGGAAATATTTGCAGAGCAGAACTTGTCTTTTTTTATTATTATTATTTATTTTTTGCTCACTCCTTGAGAGCAAACTTGTGTTATGGTATGTGGCTAGCCTGCAGTTCCTCAGCTAGCAAATTCTCTGATGGTCTTGTGTCTATGCGAGCATTTGCGTTCTGTCATTAAGCCTTTAGAGATCTTGCCAGCCATTGGTTTGGCACCCAGTCATTCTCAGCAGGACTGGTTGCCTGTATCCTGTATTTAGCTAATGCTCTGTCAACCACAGGGTGAAACTCAGCCAACAAGATCTCTATCAGCCTTTCAAGGACCAACAGTTCTGCCATGTGGACTGGAGTCCTGCACCCTGGGCTGATCTATTTATTAAAGCGCTCTGCCAATCAGTAGACCTTGTCAAAAATAATGTTTCCCCTTCTCCTCTCCCTCCTCCCTGGAAAATGTTGATGTGAGTGACAAAATGTTTGTTTTCATTGACTTATTCCATGGAAATTTACAGGTTCCATTGGAAAATGAAAGATATGTTTTCAGCTGTGGAAGATGTTTCACTTTAAGTCTTTTCAAATTTCCAATAAAAGGAAAAGAATTGAAAATTTTCAAGGAAAGGCATTAATCACATGGGTTTCACTGAAAGCAGAGCTTTCCAGCAAGACTGCTGTTTGCTTACTTTCACAGTGACTGAATGGTTTTCCTACCTCAAAGGTGCTCCTGCAGGATGGCTATAAGGTTTGCTGTGGCATACATTGCCATCTGCTTTCCTGGACAGTGTTGGTTGCAACAAAGCCAATCAGTTAATACAGATGTCCAGTCTTGCATTTTGACCACAATATCATCCTTTCTTGCTCATCTGAGCACATCTGGTCCTGCCTACCCCTTCCACCAAATCTTTCCTCATGTTACCCTTCTAGCCCTAAACACGCACATAGGAGAATGTCTTTATTTTCATCCAGGCCATGGGCTTCCCACTTTATGGACCAGAAACTGAGGCATTGAGTCATACCCAGCTCATTAGGTTCTGCTCTGCTGTACAAGCATGAGGGAAGGTGGAGAGGGTTGATCAGATAAAGCCTGGAAGCACTCCATTAGTGAGATGTGCTCACAAAGCCACTGTGATCACTGGAATTAAGCTTTAAAATATTCTGAGCAAATATTGTCTCAGTTCTGAGAATTGCCTTTGTGTGTGTGGGCATGCGTGCAAGTGCATGCGCCTGTTTTAGCCAGATGCTCTGGCTCAGCCTCCTTGAGTTTGGCAGAGGCTTCTTGGACCCTGTGGCTTCAGCAGAAGCTTGGACCTGTGGCCTCAGCACCTAGTGGCTTCCTCTGAGATGGTCTCCAGCTTGATGGGAGATATCAGGAAGTCATTTAATCATGCGGATGCTCTGGGAGCAGCTGCACTGGTAGGAGAAAGCTTTGGAAACCAAAGAGCCTTCCCCATACCTGTCAGCTGTGGGAGAGGCATGCTGCCTCTTGCCTGCCCTGCCCTGGAGGCACAAGTCTCCAGGACCAAATACCTCTTTCCTGGTTGTGTGTGATGCATGGCCTTTTGGCCACTGGGCTTCTTGTTGTCCCTTTAGGGCATATCCATCAGCTGTCTTCTGTCTTCCAGTACCTCTCTGAAGTAGCTTGACTCAAGAGACTGATCTTTACAAACCTGGGAGGAGAGGAACATGTACAGGCATTTCTGCTCCACGCTCATTTTATCCCAGCCCTGTACGAGCTGCCTTTGTGAGGGAAAGCAGTGGCATTCAGAATACCATCTGAAGCAGTAAGAGAACAGTAAAGACAGCACCTCTCACTGCATCTCTTTGTGCCTGACCACCCTCTTCTGTCTTTGCTGGCTGGTAACTTCGGGATTCATAACAAGGCAGCAGAGGTAGAGTGAGACACTGCAGACTGATGTCTGGGCAGAGCATGATACTGCAAACCCCCAGCCATCATACTGAACCAACAGGGAGAGAGCCACAGGGTCCGTAAAACAGACAATGACAACCAAATAGGCCAGAAGTAGAGCTGACCAAGCACATCTTCAGATTTCTACATCCTCTTCCAGTCTCATGTGACCATGTCCTTGTGACTGGTGCTGGGAAGGGGACACGAGAGTTGGGTTTTGTTAGTGCAAACCTTGGGGCAGTTGGTAGTTCACTTCAACACTTCTGTTGTGTCATGCACATAATTGCCAAAGAGCTGGTAGGGGAAATGCGCGAAGAGTGGGTTTTCTTTTAGAGAGTGCAGTCCTGTCAAAACTCCAAATGTCTTGAAACGTTTTTAGGATGAAAAGTTATGTTTCTTTTTTTAATCCTGAAATAACTTTTTATAATGTGGTGCATTACGTAATAAAAAATATAAAGTAAATACGTTCAACCAGACCTGACCTGATAAGAAAGCTTGGTGTGTTTTTTTCCCCCACAGAGATTTAAGTCATATTCAGGTTTTATCTGGTATTGAAGAGAAAATCCTTCTGATCTTCAGTGACTCCAGATTACAGTTCCTCACTTCCTTTTCTTGTGAAACTAAGTCTTGGTCCACCATGGAACTTAACTTAGTAGAAACGTTTTGTTTTAGGATGAAACCCTATTAATGCTGCATAACCATTCAGTTGGAGTCCTCTTACAAAAGCCTCAGTCCCCCAGCTGGAAAATAGGAAAAGTGCCATGCAGCTGACATGACTGATCACGCTCATGCAGGCCAAATCAAGCGTCATATCAGTGAGGAAGAGGAACAACCCTGTGCCTAGGGCAGCAGTCTGGGACATGAGATCTGGATTCTCTGTTTCCTGCAAACTATTCCTGTGGCCATGGCCCCATCACCTGAGATCATCCTCATTACATAGAAGTCCCCCATGGCCATTACTGCCTTGGTAATGGCTGTCAATGTGCTATTAGTACTGATTAATTGCACTATGTGCGCAAAACCCCAACCTGATGACGAAGGTAGGCAGAAGTGATGGAGGTGACTTGGTATTGCATACCAGCTCCTCAACAACAAGGAAATATGCAAGCCTGTTTCCTCTTGTATCCTATTTCATTATGAAAGCTCTGGGGGGAGCTAGGAGAAATGCAACGGTTGGAAGTCTGCAGGAAGCTCACCAGTCGAGGGGCTGGTGGGACACTAGACCTGGTGGACTTGGGAGTGAACAGGAGTAAACCCAGCAAGGGTTAGGTGAGGTGAGCAACTTTTATTTTTGAAGCAGCACAGAGAGAGGGGAAGAGGAAAGGACAGAACAGCTGTAAGGACATATTTGTTGCTGACTGGTCCAAAGGAATGTGTATAAACAGCTTTAGATGTATTTTCCTGAGCATGCTAAGTGTACTTGCTGCCTCCTCTAATTGGTCCTGCCTCAAGTTAGCCAGGACTAAGAGTTCCCATGGGAAGTACGCTTCACTGACTCAAACGGTCTGACAACTGGTGTCCCCAGTGCAACCTGTGTTACTGATTGCCCCCGAGCTGTCCTTTCTCACAGCCTCCTGCCAGAGTGCCCAGGGCAAGCTCATATTTGGCCCTGCCTTAGGGTCCACTGGCTAGATAGCTTTACCGCAGGGCAGCAGCAGGGCCTGGCTGGTACCAGCACTGGATCTGGCAGCACAGGTGTAAAAGGCTGCATCTCCCTCTGGGGAAGGCTGGTCCGTGTGGCTGAGGATGCTTGAATTTATTTCCTGAGCTGGTCACAAGCTCCTTGACTCAACCTGAGGAAGTTGCAGACAGAGGCTCCCGGAGCAGGGGCTGCACTTTCCTGATGGGCTGGTTCCTGCGCAGGCACCGACAACTGACACCAGCAAAGATGGTTTTGCATGTGCAAATGCGCCTGCACACAAAGTGATTGTTCCCAATATGCAGCCACTTTTTCTGAAGAGTTCAGTGCAAGCAGTCAGCAAAAGGAGGGAAAAAAAAAGAATAAACCAGTTTCTCATGGCAAAATGTCATTTTGATGGAACTGACATTTTTTGCAAAGCCAGTATAAATTTCAATGTTTTGTTTTGTTTGTTTAAAAAAAACAAACACAGAAAATGTCCAAATACGTAATATTGACATTTTCAGAACCAAATGTTTTGCTACTCCATCCTGGCACAGTTCTTAAAATTTGAATGAACTTTTTCATAAAAATACTACAAAGAGACTAAAGGAAATAACGATTTTTACATTCCTCTAAAGTACTGGGTCTTCCACAGATTTTATCTTTTTGCTCTGACTCAAGACTTGAGCCCATCCATCAAAGAGAAAATGAGTTGCCATTTTTGGGGAAATGCATGGTTTACTCCACTGGCTAAGCCAGTTAGTTGTGAAAATGTTTCCAAAGAGCCATACCTGTGTTTGGTGATCTTTCAGGCAGCCAGCATCCTCCTGCAAGCTGAGCTGTGCATAAGCCTGTAAAATGCATCCTTGATAGGGTATCGGCACTGTTGGCCTCCCTCACAGGGAGCATCAAGGCAGAGGCGGGGTACAACACAGGTTATCACCTCACGTCCAAAGGCAAGATAAAGTGAAAATTGAATCAAGCCACTGGACTTTTAAGAATTGCTCTCTTTGAAGGTGCTCAAGTGCAGGAAATGTTGTGGAAGGGAGGAATTAGGGGGGAGCTGCTGGATGCAGAGTGGTACAAAAGCATAGCATGGGGTCTGCTGCTGCCTTGCATGCTGCCAGACTGTGGGGCCAGCAGAAAGTGCTGATAGGAAGCACTGGTATGACTCTGACCGGTTTTGAACTCCTGTGTTAATACTGACTATAAGTATTGATTAGGATTGCAATTCTCCATCATCCATTATATTGCTTTGCATATACAAATAGAACCAAGAGGGAGTGAAAAACTGAGCAGTGGGTTTGCATTTGGTGACCCTAATTAAGCTGGGTTTGGGAGCTCCAGCAAGGCTTGGTTCGCAGTCGTGCTGATCCTCTGGTTTTCCTTCTGTTTCACTCCCATCTTTCCTTCAAAGCTCTCTTTCCTTCAGTGTTTTCTGAGTCCCACCAGCCTCTGACGTGTCAAACACAGCTCTCAGGACCTGGCGGCAGAGCCTCCCCACGTGCCCAGGAGCTGATGCAAGTCACACCCGTCATTCGGCAGAAAATGTTGCAATAGGGTAATGAGGAAATTTACGCAGGACCACTGAAGGGAATCAGTGACAAAGAAAGGCAGAAAAATCAGCCCCAGAAGAGATCAGGTTATCTCCCACCAGAAAGGTTGACCTTCAGGAAGCGTGGTGGGTCGAGCACCAGGAAGACACAGTGTCACACATGACACATGTGCTGACCCTCCAAGAGCTGTTTTTATTTCATGTGGTGCTCTGAGCCCTGAAGACCCCCTGTTTGGTCCCTCAGGGCACGTTAGCAGGGGTTGCTGCCACAGTTCCAAAGAAGTCAGATTTTAAAGCTGGCTGACGGGACTACAAAAGCCTTGAGTATAGTCATCTGCTTTTGATTTCTTCTTCCTTGAGCTATTCCCCACAATGCTTTTTTCTCCCTTTCTATCCATCCCATGACATCTCTCCCCCCTCTCCTCCTGAGGCCCCCACCAGCCCCAACTCCACCCATTCTCTGAGTGTCCCAGTTAGGAAGCAAAGAGGTAACTACGTGCCAGCTAGTACCTTCTTATCTAGTCACAGTATGTTCCCCTAAGAGAATTTTTGGCCTGGGATTGTGTGTGTGTGTGTTTTTATATGCTTTATTTTTATCACAGAAGGGATAGACAGTACATTATGTCTTCAGTCCAGGAGGTTACACATTAGATAACAGACAGGCAGATATACTACAACTGCTCCAGCCTGTGGAGTTATGTTCCTGAGATAGTACAGGGAATGTAACAGGTAAACTGCTTCCAACCCCCCACATTCAGGCAGTGGATTTTCTGTCAACAAAACCAGATCCAAGCAGAGATTTCAATGTTGATGCTCCTGCAGCCAGAGAATAAAGTCCACAGTGCTCCCTCCATCTCGGTCATGCTTGTACCTCCTCACCAGTCCCAGCCTCCCATCTCCGCTGTCCCATCTGCTCTTCCTCTGGCTTCATCCTCATGTTTCTCTGTCAGTTTCTGATCTGGACACGTGGTACAGTTCAGCGATCATCTTGGACTCCTCCAAGAATACAGCTAGATTCAAAAGAGAATGGGGGGGAGGAGGGAATGCAGGAAACGGTGGCATCAACAACTTCATGATAGGAAATGCTAACTAAAGTGGGGAAAGGGGAATTTTAAAATATTATATTAACAGCTAGGATTGGAGATGGTTTATCTGTGGCTGCTGCTTGCACCTTTCTTAAACTGTCTGGGCTAGTTATAATGCTGTAGACTGAATGATAGTTTTTAAAGGGTTAAGGGTGAGGCACAGTATGGTGATTCCTTTTTTTCTGCCATTGCAAGAACAGTGTCCTTACCACACTGTGTCAGGCTCCAGCAAGCATCCAGGATCTGGTTCACCAGTCTCACCACCCATCACAAAGCTCAGAGGCACCTGGCCACTTCCAGCATCTTTAGTCTGGTAAGGGAGATGTTGCAGAGCCTTTGAATCATCCGGCAAATTTGTGCCTGCCCTCACCTCCCTTCAGACCTTTGTCTCACATTGTGAAGATTAACAGCATATTGCAGCATCACCATGCTGCTGTGGGGATGGTGGTGCTGGGTTTATTTTCTCAGGAGAAACAGATAAAGGTGGCACCAGCTACTACCCAGCACTAAAGCTAAATCAGTAAATTTATTATTCTTTTAAACCTGACAGACGTGACAGGGGATGTTTGGGGTTTTGATCCAAAGCTTAGCAAAGCCCGTGACCTCTGTATCAGCCTGACAATGAGCAATTGTGGCTGTGCTGCTCCAGCATCCATCAAATGCAATGATTAAGTGGTTGATGGCACCTGAGAGATAAAAGTCACTGTAACTAAACATTGTCACAAGATTTATGTCTCCCACTTAGAGAATATTGTCTTAACTTAGGCTTTAGTTTTTGGGTGTTTCCATGGTGGTCTCAACCTAGTGTCTGCATCCTTTGCAAGTATTACCCAGACTTTAATATATCTTTCTGGCTTACCTGTGAGATAAAAGCAAGCTATCATCCTAATTTCATAGTGGGGGAAATAAAGTACCAAGAGATTATCCATAAAGCATAATCACTCATTTTGATACCTAGCATGAGTCATGTAAATCTCCAGTGCTCTGCGTAATGGGGCTGGAGGACACCTTTGCATTTGCTTTTACAGAGATACTGCCTTGGAGGTCATGCCGGCAAGCCTAGCTCTGGTTGCCTGGGATTATTCATGTTGCCTGGACAAAATGGTCCTTTCCCTTTGGTACAAGAGGCACTTCAGTAATGAAAAGCCTTGCCCATTCCCAAATGAGCTAGCTGCTTGAGCTCAGAGACCAAGAGTACGTTATTAGCAAAGAAATGTCAAAATTGGCGTGGTCTGGAGCAACAAAAGACATGTGAAGCCTCAGAAAGCTTGGCTTGCACATGTAAGAAAGAGGTAGCATTGGGTCTGGTAAATCCAAATGATCCCTCTCATCCTAGGGAGATCAGCTCTGCATACTGAGTGTGTGCTGAGAAGTTGCTGCAGTGAAAACAGAGCTGGTGTTCCCAGGGCTGGGGACAGAAATGCTGGAGCTGCCTGGGGTGAATGGTTCCCAGAAGGTTTTGGTGAATGCTGAAGGGGCCCACAACCCATCAAGAGGTAGATGGGAAAGACAGACAAACAAACTGATCTTTTTGATGCCCCCTTACTGCAGAAATCCCCTTTTCTGGCTCAGCTTTTGGCATGGCTTCTTGCTGACTGATGAGCAGCTTGGACACCAGAACATATTCATGGCAAAAATGAAGTTCTCAGCAATGACTTCTGCCACTCTTAAGGCCCGATAACTAGTCAGAAGTTGAGATCATGCAAGTCCCCCAGCCCCCCCAAACCTTCCCCTCTCCCGGGCTGGCTCCTCCCCATGCACAGTGCAGGAAGTTGCTGGGACAGCACCCATGCTGCCCGTACGCTCTTCCCCTCCTGTGCTTTGCAGCACTAGGACTGTCAAAGTCGGCACATTTCTGAGGCTGAGCTTCTCACAGTGGCTTTGGGAGCAGGTTATTCTGCCTGCCTTTAGCTTGCTTTTTTATTTTCCATGTCTCCCAGCTGCTCTGCATGGCCAGGAGCAGGGCTGGGATGTGCTTCTCCCAGTGGGCATGGTGGGCATGGGTCCCTGCTCTGCTGTACAAGCAATAATTAATTGCTGTCCTCAGTGAGGAGTCCCTGTGCCAGCAGTAATCAGCACAGGCCTGGAAGTGAGTGGCAGAGAGCTGCATACTCCGCACTGGCACAACTGTGTCAACAAAGTTATGGCATTGACCATGGCTTTAGTACATGGGTGTTGGGAAGCAGATAGTCTCTGCGATTAGGGTTCCACACAGGTTTTTGTACCCCCATCATTGCAGGGCTGACCGGGTGTGTGCTTGGGCAGGGGTCTGTGACCCAGAGGGTGCTCCCCTCAACTGGGGTGTCAGGCAGGGTAGCAGAAGTGCTTTTGTTCCAGCTAAGCTGTATCGGAAATTTGTTTTCTTTTCATCCTCTGTCTAGTTTTTGGCTCTGAACTCAGTGCCCAAGACACACAAGTCAAAAGTCCAGCGGGCCAAGATAGCTGTGTCTTTATGGGAACTGTGCAAACAGGAGCAGGTGGGGAGGGAAGAGGAGCCAAACAGTGGGGTCTCCCCTCTTGCTGCCCAATATTTTTGGTGATCTTTATGTGCCTGTCCCTGACTACTTTCAGTGATGTCCATGGTTGCTAGGGCTGAGCTGCAGCTCCCTTGTTTAAGCCAGATCTCCTCTATCCACTCCATTTGACTAATTCTCCACTTGATAAATCCATCATTTGCAGTGACAGAAGACAGGCCAGGGAGCATCACTGTGGTCTGCGATGCAGCACACTCCTGCATGTTTCCAGGCTAAGGTAATGTCACTACATCTCCCAGCATCTGTGCAGCAAATGGAATCAGAGTCCTCTGAGGGGATGGGCTGAGGAGACAGCCTGCCCACCAACTCAGCCCTGCAACAGAATGCAGTCCCAGGACCAGCTGCAACCACACAAATAAAAACCCAAAGACTGATAAAGATTTTGCAGACAGAAGACATTTGGAAATTCTGATGAAAAAAGCATTTGACAGTTTGCAAGTTAGAGGTAGTAATTATCTATTTTGCCTGTGTGACTTTTTCAGCAAGATGGGCAATGATATCACATGACTGATGGGATTTTCGCACTCTGTCCCATGCTCTTATTTTCACCATCTCCCACCTCTTATCCCAGTCACTCAGGAGCTGCTCCAGTGTTCACATGTTTAAATGGACAAGAATACAGATCAGTTGGACCTGGAAAATCAAGCCTTTTGTGTTTAATATATTTCCACCTCTGAGGCAAGGCATTGATACTGGCTGAAAGCAAATGCTTCCAAATGGTGTCTCATCACTTACACTTCTCCAAAGAGTCTCCTACCCCCTGTCTTAGTGCTTTGTGTGTCTGGACTTACTTCAGGTACCGAGCAGAGATTGAACTTGCAGCAGTGCACAAAGTATTACATTCAGTGAACCAGAAATAAAACCGAAAAAACATTCTGAGAAGTTCCCTGAACATTCTTAAAATAGATTTTTCCATCTTTTAGGGTCGCATACAGAACCCTGCTTGATTAGGTCTGGGAATCTGTTGTTAATTTGCTCATTAGAAGGTGTTTTTAAAGTGGCTTTCAGCACTCATGAGTTTTGTGCTCTTTCTAAAACTCTCACTAAACTTCCAGTAGCAAACTCCAGGAGAGGGGAATCAAGCACTTGGTATGTCCCCTCAATCCCCTAAAATCAACCCTAACCTTCCCCAGCTCCCTTCTCTCAATATCGTGCCAAGGCAAAGATCAAACATGTGCATCCCCAAATCGGCCATGATTGAGAAGCCCTGGGTGGAATAGATCTGAATGACTTTTACTTATCTATCCCGGGAATGTATCCTACTGCCTCTGACAGTTTGCATGAGCACCAGCAAAGAGTCCTATGCAAGTGACGCATGCAGAGGAGCAATGTGGCTGGGAGTGCAGTGGGGAATGCCAAGGATGCCACAACAGGAAGCATGGAGACATAACAGATCCAAGTGGGGTAACTGAGTCAGATGGAGCAGGAATGTGATTAAATTACCCCTGCGGGATTTGGCTGAGATGCCAAGGCATGCTGAGCTCATTCCCCATCAGAGGGAGGAAGTGAGCAGAGCAGGTCTAGCTGTTTATGTTTTGTTTTATCAGATAGGACCAAGCAGCAGCAGCAGCAGCAAATGTTGCGGTTTGGGGAAAGACGTATTTCAGCTCATTTCCCAGTTCCTTCTGTGTCCCAAAGTACAGCTAGTGGAGGAAGAGCGAGCAAATGAAAGTCTCACTGGGTCTGCTAGTGTAGGAGATTGAGCCACCTGCAGAGTTTTGCCAGGAAGCCAGCAAACACTGGAGGGGCAGATCCTGTGCATCCCAAAGCAGTGGCCATTGCCTTGCCAGGTGCACATGGAGCCACCTCTGAAGGAGCTGCATATGGCTTTAGGTTTGCATATGCTTGCCCCTCTGCGACACAAAACCTGTCTGCTCTGGCTGACAAATGGGTCCCAAATCCCTGATCTGCATCCACGAGGGTCTTGAGTAAGACATGGGGATGATGACAACGTGCATCAAGTGGCTCCTCTACAGCTGGTCTGAGCTCTACAAGCTTGGTCCTGCCCAAGAGAGTGGGTTGAGGGAAACCTTTGCAGGCTAATTCAGTGTGCAAGCTACAGTGCCTTGTTTGGTCTCCTTCTTCATTGTGGTCAGGAGTTTTTTCTTTTAAAGATTTTCACCTGAAAATGCAATTTAATCCAAAGTAAAACTATCTGCAGAGAAAGAGCAGCTTTGATATAAGCAAATGCGCACAGTCTCTTGTCAGTAGTTTCAGGTCTGGGGAATTCTGCACCAAAATTTTTTTAGGTTCAATTAAAGTATTACAAATGCAGTGAACATGGAGTAAAAAAGTTGGGAAAGGTCAACACTGAAATGTTTTCCTGCCATTGACCTTCTCTCAATATATTCCTTGTAACTCAGGCTTCAGTAAAGTTTCCCAACTTTTGGGTTTTACTGATTCAGGAAAGAGAAAAAACATTTTGAGCATTGGGAAAGAGTTTCCCACTTAGTCTGTTGGTTATTCCCTAAGTATCAAGGCTCTTTGCTCTTGTGCTGTGCTACATAGCAAATATGCACATACTAAATCAGAGATACAGCTTATCCTAATATCCAGCTGCTAAGCAGGCTGAGACCTGTGTGACAGAAATAGGGCATGTTTTCAGATGCCACTTGGGAAATACTAGATTTTACACAAGGCATGAAGATTGTCTCCATGCTGGTAAGTGTTTCTAAAATGCAATCATATTTTGGGGGGGTGGTGGTGATGAGAAGAGCTTGAGATTCTCTTCTGCATTAGTAAGTCCTCTGAGTGTTCCTTTCTCAGGTTTTGCATGGGCCTTAAGTGCCTTATATGAGGCTCTGAGAAAGCAAGACCACCAGTCCATTGATATAGTGTGGCTTGTTCCCTTTTCTTTCTGAGTCCAATTTGGGATTATTCCTACCAGGCCGTTTGCACTTTAAGCACAGCTTCACAGAATCACAGAATCCTAAGGGTTGGAAGGGACCTCAAAAGATCATCTAGTCCAACCCTCCTGCAAGAGCAGGGTAACCTAGAGTACATCACACAGGAACTTGTCCAGGCGGGCCTTGAACATCTCCAATGTAGGAGACTCCACAACCCCCCTGGGCAACCTGTTCCGGTGCTCTGTCACTCTCACAGTAAAGAAATTTTTCCTGATGTTCACATGGAACCTCCTGTGCTCCAGTTTACACCCATTGCCCCTTGTCATATCACTGGACATCACTGAGAAAAACCTAGCTCCATCATCCTGACACTCACCCTTTATATATTTGTAAACATTGATGAGGTCACCCCTCAGTCTCCTCCAAGCTAAAGAGTCCCAGCTCCCTCAGCCTCTCCTCATAAGGGAGATGTTCCACTCCCTTAATCATCTTTGTAGCTCTGCGCTGGACTCTCTCCAGCAGTTCCCTGTCCTTCTTGAACTGAGGGGCCCAGAACTGGACACAATATTCCAGATGCGGCCTCACCAAGGCAGAGTAGAGGGGGAGGAGAACCTCTCTCGACCTACTAACCACACCCTTTCTAATGCACCCTAGGATGCCATTGGCCTTCTTGGCCACAAGGGCACATTGCTGGCTCATGGTCACCCTCCTATCCACCAGGACCCCCAGGTCCCTTTCCCCTTCACTACTGTCCAGCAGGTCAACCCCCAACCTGTACTGGTACATGGGGTTGTTCTTCCCCAGATGCAGGACTCTACACTTGCCCTTGTTGAATTTCATCAAGTTCCTCTCCGCCCAACTCTCCAGCCTGTCCAGGCCTCGCTGAATGGCAACACAGCCCTCTGGTGTGTCAGCCACTCCTCCCAGTTTAGTATCATCAGCAAACTTGCTGAGGGTACACTCAATTCCCTCATCTAAATCATTGATGAATATATTAAACAGCTTCCCAAGTTCCATCACTTACTTAGGACACAGTCATGTCCAGCAACACCAACAAGAGCGGAAGCAGATCTGTGGCTCATACAAAAGCTGGAAATGAGTTTTTCAAGAATTTGGAAAGCAATTTCTGTAAGAACTGGTTTGGGCCAATAACCGAGGCATCCCTCATCACAGATCAAAATCTGTAAAAAGGACCTCAGCAAAACTGCTTTACCTCCCAAATACATTTCCTTTGAATGACTCCTGTCTTTACCAGGTTTCACACTGTTTATAGGTTAAACCAAGGCAGTTTTTCCCCCTATCTGGCAACATTGCAAGTCTTGCACAGTATCTGAGCAAGAAGTGAGGTTGCTTCCAGTCTTCTATGCAAGTCAGGGTGTTTATTTAAAAGTTTCCAGATACATGGGCTGTGACAGAGCTCTGACCTTCACTGTAATTTCTGAAATGGTTTCTTAAGGGTTTCAGTTCACATCTGAGAAGAGGATTCAGGTGGCTCTTGGTACATTCATATCCCTGTGCTTGTATTTCCTTGTTTTAAGCTGTTCCCTACCACATACATGCTGAGGTCAGGATTCAGCTGGTGGCCTTGCTGGTGGGAGAAGCAAAAACTGGCCTGCAGTTCCCTCTCTTAGTTTTGCACTAACTTGGGAGTGCTGACTTTGGTGAAAACTTGGTTTTGTCAGTGTTCAAAGCTGCTTGCATGTTACTCAAGAGGCAGAGAGGCAGTAGACCCGAACTGGTTAAAGTCACTTCTCTGACAGCAAACTTTGCCCTCTCCCCAAAATGCTAATTTCTAGTGCCAGCCCCAGAAAAGCTGCCCAACTTCTCCCCACACACACACACACAATCCTGCTTTCTGACAGGCATTAGATGTTGTGGCACTTTTTTCTTTCCTCAATTGAGAAACACATCAGAGCACCTTTTTAATACTTCTTTCACTAACAAGCTGAGGATGCTAAACAGGCAGCTGAAGAGCAACCACGGTTTTAGTGCCAACAGGTGTTGCTGTATGGATCTTGGGATGTTTGTGAGCAGGTTTCTTTGAGAAATGGGGCAAGTCCTAGGGGTGGTTTTGCCATGATCAGCTTTGCCGGCTGTCCTTCCACGTAGTGACAGCCAGGCAGCCAAAGGATCAGCCATTCCTGTGCCACGAGTACTTGTGAGTCCCTCTGATCAGGAGGGACTGATCCAGATGACGGCAAAGGATGGGAGTAGAGGCTGAAAGGACCTATGCCCCCCAGCAGCCTTCAGCTGAGCTCAGGTGTGGCAGCTGGATGTACATCACAGTAGCCCTTAAAAGTCTCTTTCTTATGACAGCTGAAACTGATGTTGCTTTAGGTCAGACGTTGCCTCTGAACCAGCACCATTCAGTTTGGCCTGGATCTAAAACATGCTCTTCCCTGGGGACCTGTTGAGAGGAGAACCAGAGCTGCTCCGAGCTGTTCAGCCCTTTGGCAAAGAGCCATCATTTACAGCCCTGATCACAGCCATGCTACTGCGCATGGTAGCCAAGAAGACCTGCAAGAACTGTAGGCTTGAAACATGCCCATGAGCCATAGATGACTCTCCTTTGGTTCATTAACTCCCGAAAAGACTTTAGCCAGGACCAGCTTGCTGAAAACACCCTCAAAACTCAATGACACAGAGACAAGAAGGTGGCTGGTTAGGTATAACTACTTAGCTACCTTCCTAACCATTGTTGACCCTTATTAATGGTTAAACTCTCGCTGTGTCATAGCTTGCTGTTCCTGGCCAATTCAGACTCTTTCAGGTGGAAGGAAGGGTGAAGAGTGGAGGAAAATCAACACCAAAGACCTGTTTGTATTCCTCAAGACACCCATGTAAACAGCACCTCAGGTTACCTGTAAGTGGCATTTGCTTTCCCGTTAAGGGATATTTATTGAATTCAGAACTGCATGAATGAGTAGGGCCTTAGCCTTGTCTTGAAATGGGCGAACATGTATGTGTGCTTAACTCCCATTCTTTGTATTTACATGGCATCCTTCCCTCATCTCCACAGTACCACAGAGCCTCAGCTTTATGCTTATTTATCTCCATGGTCTCTTGAGGACTTCTTAAAAAAATGAGGTATGGCTGATTTACCCAAAATCAGAAAAAAAAACCTGGTGTCAGCACAGAGGATTGAGTTGAGTATTTGTCAGCATGGCAAGTGGATCCTTCTACTGTACCTCAAATCTCACGGCAGCCCTTTGGCCTTGGGCACCTGCCCTTCTTTTTTTGTGGGGGAGGGTGATGAAGCTGTGCCAGGCTCATGCTCTCATGGGGCTATGTGCCTCATGGGCGCCCATGCATGGCACACATGGAGTCACAGGGGCTTTGCCTGGCCACGAGGCTATGGGCAGGTAACTCATGCCCCTGCTTGGACACTGACAATCTCAAACCTTTACTGACCTGAAACTGCTAACAGTAATAGATTTGCTAAACCACATGTTTTTCCTGTTGCAGTCATATGCTCAATGAGAATTAAGCTGAGTCTGCTTCCTTACTCTTTCTCTTGCCCAGTGGCCATGACGTGATGTTTGAACCATGTATGTGTGAACCTGGGTACAGGTCTTTGCCTATCAAAAAAGATAGACAAAGACCTGTACCCAGCCTTTGCCTGAGACTTGAACCAAACTACACTTGGCCCTTCTGTCAGTTTGAAAAGTTCAATCAACCGTTTTTTCAACTTTCACATTCCTCTGCCCTCTTTGGGATTTGACTGAAGCCAAAGGCACCAAAATACCCTGAGAAATGCTGTCTTGTCATAATTTCTGACCTGCTAAAACCAATTTTTCTGATTCTGATAAATTCTTACAACTTCCAGGCCAAAAAACGATTTGGGCAAGGTTCAAGCTGACATCCAGGCCAACACTTTCAAGTACTCTTATTGACAGGTAATCAGTCAAAAATCTCTCTCCTGAGTTTGGTGGCACCAACATGAAAGGTGCATCAACATGAAAGGTACACCAACAGAAGATTTGAAGTCAGTATTTGCCATTTCAAAGCCTGATGAAGGATGGAATGAGCAGAACCTGACAGTTTTCACTGCCTGTGTTTAGCAGAGGACAAAGGTTTTGCTTTACCAGAGGTGAGGATATGTTGGACAGCTGTGGCAGCCCCTCATTCAGATGTGCCACTTGATAACCTGACCTCAGGGTCAGGTTATGCTGAGATTTTCTGGGAGCCCACTACTAAACTGTCATGTTACTTAATTAGCTTTATGCTTTCCTTTTTTTTAGTTCTTCTCATTCTTTTATCTGGCAGGCATGTTGGTTCACAGCATGCTGGGAAGTTGGGCCAGTGCAAGTGCTTTTCCATGCAAAGACATCCCGTATGGGCAAGAATGGGGTCTCTTGGGCTGTCCTCCCTATTCCAACCCTGATCTACTGCCATATGCTCCTGCAGATGCTATTGTGGTCTTTGTCTTTTCCTGAAAAATGACTTGAGCCTCAGATGGAATGAGGGAGGTTTGAGGGCACATGCCCATAGAGCACTCAAGCAGCTGAGCAAAAAGCATTATGCAGGAGATAATGAACTTTTTTAGATAACTAACAAACAACGTCAGCCAGTTACATTTCAGCTTCCACCTACCTAGCCCTGCCATCAAGATCAGGCATTCCTTGCCTTGCAAGAAAATTAACTGAGGGAAAAGAGGGAAGTGGAGGTGGAAGTTCTTCTGTTTTACAGCTGTTAATGAAATATCATCTAATCACCTGCAAAAACAAGAATAGTCACTTCTCCTGCTTCCCAAACACTTGTCCACATGATGCTGCAGCTCGTCTCAGAATTTTGCCCCCTAAAGGATGACACTGACGGGAAGGGGGAGCAGTTTAGTTTCAGGAAGGTTATTGCCTCATAGCACAGGGGAGACAAGGGCTTGAGGGCTTGAGTCTGAGCTTGACAGCCTCTCAGTTGCACATCAGGTATCTTAGTCAAGCAACCGGCCTTCCCTCCCTACCACAACAGTATGCAAACAAACCAGCCAGAGTTTAAAAGTTATAAAACAAATCAAAACCATGTAAGTATGTAAGTATTATACTAGTACCCTGTTGCCTAAAGAAGTAAAGGCAGAACTGGTCAATACCATTTTGATGGTGAGGTACATGCATCTGTATGGATGCTGTGTACAGCAGGACCCTGTTTCCTGAGGAACAGCTGAAAGATGAATAAAGCACTAATGCCTCTAGTGGGATCAAGAGAGCACCAGATTCAGCAGCTCTGCCTCAGGCAAAGAACAGGTGAGTCCCTGAGGATGTAGGTTTGCTTCCTTGTTGGCTTTTCCTCCTCCTCAGGAGAGACAGGGTGAGTCCCAAGATTATCATCCTCCCACAAGCAGCAGTCACACCACCTCGACCATGCTCTGAAACCAGAATGAGATGGTCCTTTGCCTGGTCACACTCACTGGGGCCTCATCAGCTGCTTCATCTCCCTCCGGAGGGAAATCATGAGGAGGCACAGCTGGTTCCTTACTTCATCTCAACTCTCTACTTTTTCTCCCTTTTCTCTCTCTGCAGCTGCTCAGGCTGTTTGTCACCACATCCAACATACTCAGTGTCAGTGTGCAGTGGGAAAGGATCTCATCTCCAAGCTATGATGGCTTAGCGGCTGGAAGCCAGCACCTTTCTTCCACCAGATACCGTCCAACCTTGAATCCCACCATCCAGATTTGCAGAACAGTGGCCCGAAGCAAAGCTCTTCCTTGACTCTGATACTTCTATCCAGATGATGGGTTAGTTTAGACAGTAAAGAATTTTTCTAACATTACTAATGTGAAGAAATAAAGAGCTATCAAACCAAAATGTAACTGACGCCCAGTTGCCTTTTATCTGGCTGTGCTTTATTTGCACAAGCTGAAGAACTTCATGGTGCCAGGAGGAATGTGATAGAAGTTCTTTGTCTCATAAATTATTTTGGCCCAGTCTTCCCCAGGGATATAGGGCATGAGAGCAAGAGCTGGCAGCATGGGTTCTGCTCCCAGCTTTGGCACTGACCTGCTGCATAACCTTGGACAACTCACTTCACCTCCCCTGAGCTTCTGTTTCCCATCCTCTCTTTTGTCTGCCTTGTTTATTTGGAGTGTCAACTCCTAGAGAAAGGAATTCAGCCTCCCTGGCTGCTTGCAGATTGCATAGCATGAGGGAAGCTCAATCAGACTTGTTCCTGGGAGGTATTACAGTAAAAAAATTCATTATGATGACTGAAAACTAGCATTTGCTAAACAATTAAATGGGCGGTTTCAATTATTAAGTGGCATACATGAATTAACAGGACATCTCTGGCACTTCCCAGTGTTTGTCCACGGGTGGCGACTGCTGCATCTTTCCTTTTCTGTGGCTACACCAAAGGCCACAGTCCCATAAATTCTGACATCTTCTCCCTGTCCCAGCTGCACAGTGGGAGGAGTGGAAAGCATCTGTTGGAGAAGAGGAAGAGTTCATTGGAGGTAATGAAGAAGGCTACTCTCGGAGTCCTCCCTTTGTGAACATCTGGGCAGATAACAGTTCTTCTGAGAAAGATTGAAAGAGCCAGTGAGGCCTCCTGGAAAGGGCAGGGAAACCATCTGCCTCAGAGCTGATCAGGGTCAAGGGCAGAAAGGCCAAGAGAGGCTGTGCGGTCTAATGCAGACCCTGTCACCTAGAGGTTGTAAGTGAAACAGATTAAACCAAGGCTACCAAAGACTATCTTTGAGTGAAACCGTGAGATCCTTGATCCCAGAATATACCTCTTTTAGGCAAGTACTGCAGCCTTGAAATACATTTAACCATATGGATGGTATCAAGAGATGTAATAAAAGGCTTGCCATTGCATCCATGGCTCTGGAGGAGACTACGTGCTTACCCACTGGTTTCGCCTCTATTCAGCAAGTCCCCCTGGCAGTGCCACCACTGTCTTACAGCCAAGAGCATGCCCTCCTCTTGCCACAGAGTGACCCATGATGGACACACAAGGACATCACCAGATGACAAGAATCACATAATTTGCTCTATTGGCTACTCCACAGCAATAGCTAAGAGCAGGTTAACTGGTGATTCACAGGACCTGTGTACAGGTTGCCCAAAGAAGTGGTGAATGTTCCACCCCTGGCACAGACAATCTAAGAGAATAGGCTCCACCTGGTCTTAATTCCCTTATCACCACTGCAATAGGAGCTCAGGAAACTCCACAGATGGATGAACACATGTAGAAAAGCAATGCTAAGGTGCAGGGCGAGTGTGAGTGAGGATTACCTTGTGCATTGCCATCAAGGGTGTTTACAGATCTGTGTTTTGCCACTAGATCCAGCTTGCTACGCACCCTGATGACTTCAACGCATAAAGCAGGCAAAGGGCAGTGGTTGCATATTTTAAAAAATATAATAAAAGAAGGGGGGAAAATATCTGTTTTTCAGAGCTCGCATGTTGCTGTTAAGCAGCTACTCCTTTCCATGACAGACACTGCGGCTCAGAGACCACTGCAGACATGCAGTTGCCAGGGTCTGAAGGGCAAAATTCCTGTGTCTCAGTCTCCAAATTCCTCAAATAAGTCCCTCCAATTTTTATGTTTTCATAAAGACATGGCCTGCTGCCGGGTGACCTGGAAGAGGCATCGCAGTGCTTTGTCAGCACACTCGCCTCACTGCAGAAGCTAAGGACCAAGTTGTCTTATTAATCATTTTAAAAAACGATGAGGAAAAAGAAAGGCACAGTTCTGGCTAATTGGGGGGGGGTTGGGGCGGGGAATGAGGTCAGAGTTCATTTTTCTCTCCGCTGCTGATTCACAGTTCACTGGCTGACAAGGAAAGAAAGATAACAAGAGACTGGAGATAGTTTAGGGAACAACCTCCCTCTTCCAAGGAGAGGTGGGGGAGTTCAGGTTTCTGACATGGATGGAGAGGCAGCTGTGCTGGCTGCCAAGCTACAGTACTTGGAGGGCATTCCGTGAGCTACTCCATGAGGGGGTGGAGAGTTTTGGCCCCAGCACACGTGGAGCAAGGGGGGAGACTGTCTTGATTTTTGCCACCCCATAAATATGCTGACATTGGTGCTGGTCTCAGGGAAGTCTGAGCTGGGAGGAATCAGGAGCCTTCTATCATCAGTGGCCATGCAGGAATTCAAGCGGATGTATTTGATTCAATCTCACCCTCAGGGTTTATCCACTCTCTGTTTTTTTGTTTCTTTTTAATTTAACATCTATGCAAAAGTATATGTTGGAGGGGAGAGCAGAGTCCTGGTGCTCCTTCCACTCTAGCACAGGGGTGACGATATGACAAAGCCTGCCAAACCACCCTTCCCTCCTTCCATCCCCTACAGTCACTCCCGCTACGAGCGGCGATTGCTGGAGTAACTGAGACCTCCTCAGGAGCGTGAGATCCAGAATCATTCATTTTATGGGGCCCTCCTGCAAGAGCAAGGGATTTGTTACCCTGATTCCTGCTGGGGAAGCGCTCCCACAGCCAGAATGTGAAACACAATACAGCGCGGGCTCTGACATTCAAGCTGGGTTATTTGAGGCGAGTTTGTTATACGGGGCCTACGCAGCACAATTCCAGCAGTAATTATACAGGCTCCTTGCACCACTCTGACTAGTTAAATGCTAACTCTAGCCTGAAATCACAAAGCCACCAAGTGAAGCCAATGTGCTGTGGCTGGGTTTAGGGGTAAAGGGGGAGGAAGGGGGTCAGGAGAAGGAATCGTAACCAAGAGGTGGTTGTTTAGTGGAGATCCCTGCGCTGGAGGGCATACGCTACTATGGGAAATTTGCTTCTGTGAGCATGAGCAATGGATTATGGCAGGTGGCTTGGGACCTTCTTCAGCACTGGCATTTGTGGTAATTCCAGTGTTAATGCTAGTGTTAAACTTTCTGCTACAGAAAACGAAGTGACAGCTGAAGCCCCTAGGTCAACAACGCAACATGCACTAAAATCACTAGGGTTGTGCTAACAAGGCAGGAAAGTTTCAAGAGGATGTGAGCAAATAGTGTCAGAAAAAGCCATCACAGAAATAATGTCAAGATTGCTCAAGGCAGATAAACCTGTTTGATTCTGGATTCACACAGGTGGTTCTTCCTGATGTTCTTGCCCATTATAAGACTTATGGCTGCAGTTCACTTCTGGTTTTGAACTCATTTCCACTATAATTATGATCCAGAACTGGGAAACACAACATCAGGCATCCTCTACTCATCTCGCCTCACTTCAGCTGTCTGTAGTGTAGGTCTTCACAAGTGACCTGGGCATCCAAACTCGCGTTATAGTCACGTGTAGTCTAGTCAACACAGAGAAGTTTGCAGTGTTTCATGTCATCCTAAAGTGGACACCTACACCTGTTTGGAGGAACTGTCCCACAGCTTCATAGAAAATAACAGCTGAGAGGCTGTGGCTCTGTAATCACCACTGTTAGATTTGACCAAAACAAGAGCAATGTCTCACATTGTAAGTACAGGGGCTGTGTTCAGAAACAGAAGCTATCTCCTGAGGCAGAGTCTGCTGGACAATGAAAGAAGATCTCACTCTTGGGCCATGGGGAGTCTCCAGGTAGCATCTGAATTTCTTCTGTGACATTTTTAGTAGCACATTCAAAAACAAGGACATGCACACTGGACAACAAGCACAGCTGCTGAGAACAGAAGTCCATAGAAGGAACGGGAGCCCTTTGTAAAACATCTTCCATTTGAAGGATTCAGAGATGTCTTGGCAGACACGTATAATCATAGAATAGTTAGGGTTGGAAAGGACCTTAAGATCATCAAGTTCCAACCCCCCTGCCATGGGCAGGGACACCTCCCACTAAACTAAATGGGAAAATCCTCCATCAAGCAAATTGTTTTTAATATCTGTATAAACACACCTTCTTAAAATCAAATTCCAGATACCAATGATCTCTGTCTGTTTACTTTAACTACATAGTTAATATTTCAAAGTTCTCTGACTTAACAGGCATCATCTGGGCATCTAATTGCCGGCTTCTGGCTACCCTAGAGCTATGGACACTATGTGGTATCTGGAACTCCTATGGATGTCACAAAAGCAAGGCAGAGCTACCCTGCTGCTACCAGACTTAACACACACTGATTTAATCGGCACATGCTCAGAATCATAGAATAGCTAGGGTTGGAAAGGACCTTTGGATCATCCAGTTCCAACCCCCCTACCATGGGCAGGGACATCTCACACTAAACCATGTCACCCAAGGCTCTGTCCAGCCTGGCTTTGAACACTGCCAGGGATGGAGCATTTACCACTTCTTCAGGCAACCTGTTCAGTGTCTCAGCACCCTCACAGTAAAGAACTTTTTCCGTATATATAATCTGAATTTCCCCTGTTGAAGTTTAAACCCTTACCCTTTGTCCTATCACTACAGTCCCTCTTCAGCATCCTACAGAGCTAAAACGTTTCTTCCAATGAAATGAGGAGCTAAGCTGACTCTTCTGAACATGATCCCTGGTGAGTTGTACACAGGTGTTGGCCCAGCTTTGGGAAAGCTCTGATGAGGAGGAGAGTGGGAGGTCCATCACTTCCACAAACCCATCTTCCTCCATCTTTGCTCTTCTCTTTATCCTCAATCTGATATGTAGTAAGAGGGAAGGAAGTGTGGGAGACTAGTCAAAGTGTAGATCCGAAGTGTTTGCTGAGAACATTTGACTTGGAGCTCTATCTGAGGTGAGATCAAGGCAGTGTGGGTGAACAGAACAAGGGTTACAAGCTGTTTGTATCTGTTTGGATGCCAGCAGTTATTCAATAGCCTGTACTACAAAGGTCAGGCCAGGTGATCACAACAGGCTGTGAGTCTGTATCAAACACAGGGCTAGTCAGCCTAGGCAGAGCTGTCTGGAAGGTGTTGCCTAAAGGTAGGATCAAAACCAAAGTCCTGAAAGACTTCTTTTCCTCAATCGGGCATGGCAGAGCAGGCACAGGTTGCAGGGGTGTGTGTGAGGGTAGAAAGATGTTGTTAAGCCCCTGTGAGAAGGTAGCCTGTTTCCTGAAGGCTGCACAAGTCCCCACCAGCATCACTGGTGGTGCAGAAGCACCAGCGGCTGAGCAGGTAAAAGGTGGGTGGGCCATTCAGGCCAGACACTAGCTAAAGGCTCCATCATGCTCAGAACCACAAAACTAACCTGAAATGCTAAGACATGTGAAAAGGAACAGCAGATAACGAGGGCTGAGCAGAGGGTTATAGTCATCTCCAAAGACTGTGTCCCCCACCCCCTGCAGACAGACCACCCATCCCTTTCCTTCCCAATCCTATTTTCTCTTAATGCAAGATAATTCCTAATAGCTTTTGCTATGGACATAACAATGTGTTGTCTTCCCCCCCCCCTTTTTTTTTCTGGTTGGGACATCAATAAGGACCCTTCTGCATTTAGACATGAAGGAAGAGAAGGAAAACAGTCTTGTTTTCAATAAGACAGGGTCTCTTCCTCCATTGCTCAACTGCCCATTTGCACAAGGCTTTCTGGCCCCATAGTAGACTGTTTCCCTGGAGAGTGCCGCCGACAAGGGGAGGCGAGGCGGTGTTGGAAGGTAGCCTGAGGATAATAGGCGTTATAAAGAGGAATTTTTTTTCCTGCTGTTTTTGTTTGTTTTACCACAGAGGCTCAGAGGAGCTGGCCAAGAGCCTCACACAGCAGGTGCTGCCTGGGAATGTAAGGGGAGCAAAATTCCTACTAAATGGAAGCATTATTTGACACCACTGCCTTTCGCAATCTTTTTCTTTTGTTTCAGACAAACTCCAAGGCCTCCTGGGCTTTGTGGTCAAAGCTGAGTTGGAGTCTTCTGCAGGGGAGGAAAGGGAAGTAGTAAAGGGTGTCCCCAAACATGCCAAAGACTTGGGTGACAGAGACCAACCCTTCTGGAAACAATACTGCTGGGTTCCCACAGAAGTAGCAAGAGAGCCAAGAAAAAAATAAAAATCCCCTTTGGCTCCCCCACAGCAGTTTTATTTTTTTTCTTTTTTTTCTTTTTATTTAGTGAAGAAGAGGTTGAGCCTGCACACCCACACCGAAATGGTCTCACCATTTGGAGACCTCTGAGCCTGGATCCACAGGAGCAGATCGCAGCTTTGCCCAGCTTGGTTATTTCTCTCCTATGGCTGTTGCAAGACTGGGAAAGAGTAAGTGTGGTTGGGGGAAAGCAGGCTAACTCCTCCTTCAGCAGAGGTTTCCCCTGTGGCTCAATCCTTCAGCTCCTCTCATTTTCTTCTGTCACTCAGCTCCTCGCCTGTAAAACTGGTAGGAGCTATGTGGGGATCATATATTGACAGCATGGGATGTAGAACTATTTCATAAGTGATGGATCTGTAGGAATATCCAGAAAGAAGGAAATCAGGATTTTCCAGAAATGACAGGCTTTGCCACAGACTTTACATCCTTTTTTATTTTTTTCACAAGCACGCAAGCTGCCCCTGTCTGAATGCTTTCCTCCTACCAGCAAAGACTCAGTTTTCATAGCCTTGTGTTTGGATGCCCCGGTTGATGAAATTAACCTGCAGAAGGGCCTGGTGATAGTTTGTTTCCATAAGCCTATGAACATGCCATTAACTGGCTGTGCCTGCAGTATTCAGGTACATCTGTCTCATGATTGTCCTTGAGCAAAAGGACAGTGCTGTTTTCTCCATGCCTACTTGCTGGGGTCATGCTCACTGGTGGAGCCCTAGGGTGATCCTTCAAGGCTGGTGCTATTAATATTAATGATTTTCTTCTCCTTGCACACTCTAGTTCTTGGGAAGCCAACGGTCCCTCCTGCGCCAGCCTGGATGCTTTTATGCCACGTTCCTTAGCTACAATCACGTGCCTGCTCTCCAAAACAAGTACAAAGCATGACTCCCAGTTAAATGGATGACATGGTTCTTCAGGCCCAGAGGTAAAATCTAGGAGCAGAAACATGACATCGTGTACTGCAAAAGATAGAGAAATATCAATGTGAGACAATAATAATCTGATTCTTCCAAGCACTTCCACTGCTCTTTATTAAGTACACTAAAAATAATGAAAGCCAATGACATTTGGATGGAGGGCAGAAAGTCATAGAGTTCAGAAAATGAAACTGAAATTGAAATGAGCCTTTTTCAGAAGGCCGTTCATGTAGCATTGAAATTTCTGCCCACTCAGAAAGTAGAAGGAAGGATAATACTGAAAAAAAAACACCAACTTTAAAGCTTCTGGTGTAAACTGGCACGGGTGAAAAAAGTCTGCACTTGACAAACTGCAAGAATGATCAAGCCCTTCAGGATCAGGAGTCCTGGTGAACGGTATACCTACTGAAAAACAGCAAGGTTGCAGAGTAAGATTGCACAACTAATTTCAAAGCTGCCAAATATGACCTGGTGGTATGAGAGACAGGTTTATCCCCATCTCCATGTCAAAAGGGGATGGAGAGAGAGTAATAATGTGCAACACATCTGTCCAGGGAGATGGGTGAGGTGTTCAAAAGCCCTTTGGCAAGGCTGGACATGGCTGTTGTTTCAGCAAAAAACATTAGTTTGGTTCTTGCATCAGCAAGCTCAATTTCTGTTCATTCTTCTAAATGAAGGCATTTTGAAAAATATTTTTCAAATATTCCAAATAAGTATTCTCTGTATTAAGTAAGAACAAATAATAGTGCTAGCAACACTGCAAATTTATTTTTTTTTTAATAGCCAAAGCTGCAGTAGAGTCACAAACACTTATGATACATCAGCATTTTATCCAGATGTCAGGCAAATAAAAACAAACTCCAGAGTTTGAAAAATGTAGCTTGCCAGGCAATGCTGCTTAGTTACAAAGCAGAGAAAGGTGCAAAACAGACAGCTAGATGTGAAGCCAAACAAATGCAGATTAGAAACAAAGCATGTTTTTTAATTCATGTGAGCTTCAAAATCAAGGTGGTGAATCTCCAACTTCTGATGTGTTCGCATTCTCATATCTTGTTGTGTCCGGAGCTGGATGCTTTTCTGGAAGATGCAGCAAAGCTACTGGGCTCAGTACTGGGCTAATTGGCTGCAACTGAATGGCTTTGAAATATAGGAAGTCATACCAGATGTTCTCATAGTTCCTTCTGGCCTTAAACCCTGTGAATCTATGAATGAGTTTCTGAATCTGTGAAATCCCAAGTCCTAAGAATACAAACATATGAGTAGAGTTATATTTCTGGCCTCCAGATCAGAAGAAAGATATTGAATGTGCATTGTTGCGATAAATCAAAGAAGCAGCTAAATTGGAGCTGTAATAAAAGTCAACTGCAGATCTTTGTGCAAAAATTGGTCATATGTCATATGAGGACAAGGTTCAGAGAAGCTATTTCTCAACATCCAAAATGATTGCTTTTTGGAGAAGCCCTTTCCAAACACTGTGGTGGAGATCCTCCTCCAGACTTGGACCTCGATGCCATACAGGAGCTCATTTGACAAGTGATGATCAATGTGGCACTGAACACTGTTGACCACAGTGTAATTGAGGTGGGCATCCCTGCCATGAAAACCATCAGTGAGACATTCAAGTCCAGAGAAAGGGCATTTGTTTTGTTGGACTTCCTTAAGGGGAAGCTTGTCAAAACTTAGTAAATTGAAAGGAAAAGTCAGCAAGAGAGCTACTCAGCCATGGTTGAAGCACAATCACACCAAGCACATATCCACCCACTTCCCTCGTCTGAAAAAAGAAGAGCAGCAAGAACAGCAACAATAACATTAAAAAAACAACAACTAAACCACCAAACAAAAGAACTGTGATACTTCTGAATGTTTTAATAGCACTTTTTAATTTCATTTGTTTGGGGAGGAAATCTTCTATATGCCCCATAACTGGACTCAGGCGACCAAGGTTTGAGTCTCACCACTGAAATACTTTCTTGCCAAGCTCTGAGCATCTGTTTCCTGTCCTTTACCATCTCTCTCAGCTACGTCTTTGGCTGGAGAAAGGATAGGAGCAGGTGGAAGCCAGCTGGGACCTAGTGTGCCTCATCAGCACAACTTGGGGTGATTCCTAAGATGGATGGTTGGCAACCATGATGGAAATCTCCCTTCTCCATGCATGAGGATGGGCATGTTTATATGGCTGCTTTAAAGAAAACCTTCAAGAAATGAAGATCTCACTTGAAGGAAACTCTCAGAGAAAAAGCATGTGCTACCAAAATTCTCTAGTGAAGCACCTTTATTATATAATACCAGACTACATGTGTCGTGCAAAGTACTGTATGTCATTTTCAGAGGGCCCGTTGATACTCTAAAGTCACCACCAATGTCACGCAACACTGGATGAAGCCACAAGGATGGCAGTATCACCAAGAAGTACATAATGCCAATGACAGTGGAACTAATGTGGAAGCGATTATCCTTACATTATTCAACACTTCCAATTGCTCTCTGGTTTAAGTGGCTATATGATGTAATAATATATAAATACTGTAATGAAGGGTTTATATATAGCCACCCTCAGTGTTACCAGTGAAAGTATTAATGCATTTTTCCCACACTATGTTCATTGACTGCAGCAGAGCAACCAATTTTCAGGGACTGTCTCAAAAGAGTGTTTAAGCCATTCCTCAGTCACAGGAACGGGTGAATGTCTAATGCAGCAGGGAAAGTAATAAGTTTTAAATATGGGGATTAAAAAAAAAGCAAAGGCAAAAAAATAAAGGTGAAGAGAGAACATGACTCAAATGGAAAAATGTTAAAAAGTCTCTAAAGGTGGCAACTACTTTCCAGCCTGGGGACCAAAGGACTCCCTGGAGCAGTAGAAGCTTGCACCCAGCTCTGATTTGAGACACGAGCATTGAGGGAGAAGTGATCAGACCTCGGGGCTGTGCCAAAAACAGGACCAAAAGCAGCTTCAGGTCTCAGAAATCGGGAGTGAAGCCATTCACACCACCAGTCACACTCAATTTCTAACAGTGTTTGCCTTAACTGATCTGGTGTTCCTGCCTGATCCTCCATGTAGCTTTCCAAAGCACCCTGGAGGCACCAATAGCTTCCAGATGTTTCTCCTCCCTAAGGGTATTATGGAGAGGAAAATGGCAGTTCTTGAATGGTTGAAGATGCAGGCTTTCAGAAGGACTATGTGGCATTTGCAAAGACACTGCAACACTCCCATTCCTACGCTCCATCTGTAAAGAGAGTTCCCTTTCACTCTGAACACAGTGAAAATAGGAAAAGGCAAAAAGAAAAATACTCCCTTTTCCCTTGTGGGAGAAAAGTGTGATTTCATCATTGTGAAGTGTGGGTTTCTTGGGTGCACAGGAGAAGCTACAATTACCTGGAAAGACAAAGCGGTGGAGATGGGATTTCTGGCTTTCTGGTCCACCTTCCTGCTGTGCTGCACTAGGTCCTGCCCCACTCCTGATCCTCTCATGTCCCACAGCTTTATGCTGGTCCAGGAAGAGCCGCTTTACAGAAATTTACCTGCTACCTTCATTTCCCCTACTTGGCAATGAGCTTTCCTTGCCTTTAAATCTACTAATTTATGTGACACATAATTCCTTACAGAGTGCAAAATGTCTTTCCAGTTATGGCTTTTTGAGCGGTAAAGACATGGCAAGATTTGTAGAGAAAATGTCAAAAATTCTCTAACCAGTTTAGGACTTTCCCATTCATCTTTCTGACAATATGCCACTCTGAGAGCATGAAAATCATGTGTATCCGTGTGGGCTTTCAGTGTGAAGCAGAGCAAGAACTGGGGCATCGGCTTTTCGTGCAAGAGTGACAGCAGGAGGGGATGTAGCTTCCTCCACCGCATTGGCATGCTGCCTGCAAGTGCAAGAAACTGCCTTTTTTCCCTGTTTCACAACAAACAGAGCTGTGCTGTAAACAGCATTCATCACAGAGGGAGTTTCACTGCGAACTGGATGAATGCTAGAAAAATACTATTTACAAGTCCTCCCTCAAATAAAAACCATGTGTTTATTTTGGCACTGACTGTGATTTTCCTAGTGATTGCTTCTGGCAAGTGATCAGGCAGGTACAACAGCACTTGCTGAAATATTCAGAGGATCGGGGCCTGTTGCAGCTACTTGTGTAAATACAGATCATTGAGCAAACACTTGTGCAAATCTGTGTTCACACAAGTCTGTATAGAGAGGGGTTTGCATAACTGGTTTTGAGAGCTGCTTGTGGGTTTGGGACTCCTGGAGTCAAAGCGGAGAAGCTCTGCAATGTGACGGAGGTAAACAGGGACACACGCATAAACTCACCAAGGAGAGTGCAAATGAAAAAAAATAGGGCATATAACAAATAGTTGAACTGCAGTCAGGCTGCAGAGTTTACAAGCAACCCAGAGACTGAGAAATGGCCAGAGAAACCATTCACGTAAGAACAGCGTGTCAGACACATCTGTGAAGTTCCTGCAGCCTTTGCAAACAGAGGCCTGAGTTCAACAGGATTTACTTGGAGCAGTTCATACAATTACAATTAGGCAAGCGTGTAAATATCTTACTGGAACAGGGCCAGAAGACAGGACTACAGTTGCATGGTTAATTGAGTTTGGCAAGTAGTCGTCCAGCTATATTTCCTCCAGGATCAACGCATGGAGCAGATTGATTGGTACTGGAAGAATTAAGTATGGGAATTGCAGGAAAAGAGCAATGGGAGAGCTGACTGAGCTGGCTAGCAGAGATGGGCAGAGGGGCTGATGTTCAGTCCCCTTAGAGCAGGGACCCAAGGCAGGTGTCACTTTGCACAAACATGTCTCCTGATGCTGTTGGAGACTTAACTGTATGCTGGCTGTAACTGATGTGTCCGCATGTGAAAGCAATTGCGATGGCTGGAAAGGCTTGGGTTCTGTCTTGTTTGTGTTGTTCATTTCCTACAAATGCAATTACCAAGGGATAAATTAAATTAGGTTGTAACATTATTTTGAACATCTTTTTTGGTTTGCTTTATTTCAGATTTTCTG